TCCCGGAAGATTGTAAAAACGCATTTGAATTCCAAGAAGACCCCAAAGAAGAAAGAAGCTCGAGGAAGAAAGAAAAAACTGACCGAACGTGCCGAACCATCTGTAACAAAGTTATCCATGAAGGGGGCGTCGTTTGAGGATGTTCGCAAAGATCTGAGCGATGTAGGAGTTGAAGTTTGTCGCGAAACCGTTCACAATGTTGTTTGCCGATCGCCAATTATCGTTTATGAGCTGATGGAAAAGGCCGCAAAGCTGAAAAGGAGCATCGAATCGAAAAAGCATGCGAATTGAATTCGCCAAAAGGAACCAGAAGACCGTCTGGAAACAAGTAGATTATAGCCGTGTTACTAATCATTTTTGGTGATCTGGAGCAATGAAAAGAAATTCAACGGTCCTGATGGCGTTCATGGTTATTGGAGGGATTTGAGGACCGAGCCGATCATCTTCAGCAAGCGAAATTTTTGGTAGCGGTACCGTGATGGCTTGGGGAGCATTCCGAGAGCATTCTGAGACGGAGCTGCATTCCGAGCATTGCATTGGGGAGCATTCCGAGACGACGAGCTGGCGGGATTGGGACTTATTGGACTCAAATGGACTCAAATGCTTATCAAAAAGTCTTGCAGAAACACCTAGTCGCCTATTTGCATTGATATCCGGGCAATAACTTCACTTTTATGCAAGATAACGTCTCAATTCATGCAAGTGGCTCTACGATGAGGTAGTTGACAGCAAAGAATATTGATGTTTTGAAGTGGCCAGCGTGTTCGCCTGACTTGAGCCCTATCGAGAACCTTTGGGGAATGCTAGCCTGAGACGTCTACAAAAATAACAAGCAATATTCAAATGTGAAAGAGCTCCGAGACACCATCGTGAAAGCCTGGAACAACTTGGATGGCAATTTTCTCCAAACATTGCTTTCTTGAATGCCCAGCCGTCTTTTTGAGGTCCGATTGAATCAGGGAAAAGTAACACATTATTAATTGATAACTTTTTTTTGTTATTATGAAATAATGCGTTTGTACAATCTTCCGGGAGCGTTTCAATCTTTTAGCAATCTTCACTTGTGACTATCCGAGAGTGTTCAACACATCAATTTGCTCCATAATCGTCAGTTTTTTTTACAATAAAAGGTGCTCCATAATTTTTACACAACTTCAAAACAGGTTTTCCTTGTAAATTTTTTTGTTTTTTGTTGATAGAATTTTAAAATCTTATTTATTTCTTATTTTTGATAATATAGACACATTTTGGGGAGAGTTCTTCTCAAAAAAAATGAAAATATTGCGAAAAATTGGGGTGTTCTATAATTTTTACACAGAGTGTATAAGGCGGCGTATGTAAGGCATCGTATATAAAGCGGGGCATATAAGAGAGCGTATATAAAGTGGGGCATATAAGAGAGCGTATATAAGGCCGGCGCTCGTGATTTTTCCTGTGTATAAGGCGGCGTTGATAAAGCGGCCTATATAAGACGGCGTAAATAAGACGGCGTATATAAGACAGCGTATATAAAACAGCGTATATAAGGCATCATATATAAGGCATCATATATAAGGCATCGTATATAAGGCATCGTATATAAGGCATCGTATATAAGGCGGCGTATATAAGGCATCGTAAATAAGGCATCGTAAATAAGGCATCGTAAATAAGGCATCGTATATAAGGTGGCGCTCGTGATTTTTCCTCGCCAATTTTTTGCAATAATTTCCGCTAAAAGTACGGTAATTTTTCTCAAGTGTACGCTTTAAAAAAACGCATTACGCGTAAGGAATACACCCTAGTCAAGTTCAGGCACCGGTTTTCCGGGTTCAGACCTGTACTCGAGATCGGGCAAGGTCTTTAACCAGCTCCAGACCTGGGCTCAATTTCACCAACTGCTAAATTTAGCAAAATTTTCGGTTTCACCACAAAAACTTTAGTGAAACCGATCTGTGAAAACAGCCAAGCAATTTGTATTTTGAAGAAAACCCCGAATTTTATCGAGCGTCCCCCAAGGTCTTATCGCTTTTCAAAGAAGAAATGTTCCAAAAATCATCGAATCTTTTCTCAAAGAACGAAAAAGATCCGTAAATTCGATCCCATTTCTTCAAATTCTTCAATTTCCACCACGTGATCGAAAAGATTTTCCAAAATCTCGCTCTTTTTTATCGTATCTTTTTGTCGTATCTTTTTTCCGCTCGAAAACAACTCCGAAAATTTCGGCGCGGAATTGTCGACGATTTATCGCTTTTTCTGAAATGGTCTGATCACAGGAACCTTTGATAATTTGAGTTTTATCAAAACTCAAAGATTATCGAAGTTAAACATCAAAGATTTCTGGAGAATCGATCTCCGAATTCAATCAGATCGACTCTCAGATCCGATTCAAGCTTTTTTGAAAACATCTAGAAAATTCTGAATTCAAACAGTAAACAGGAAAGCTTTAAAGCAAATTTCTCTAAATCTTTAAAGCAGCAAAATCTTTAAAGCAAGCAAGCAAAGCTAGTTAATATTTCGGTTTGGGCATTTTCTTACGACTTTTTGCCAGGGTAGGCTTTTTGCTTGCTTTAGTAGCTAAAAATTACCAGCTGGAAATCAAAGCAGAACTGATTTGGCTTGTAATGGGGTTCTGATTTGGCTTTTAATTGGCTTCTGATTTGGCTTTTAATTGGCTTCTGATTTGGCTTTTAATTGGCTTCTGATTTGGCTTGTAGTTGGCTTCTAATTTGGCTTGTAGTTGGCTTCTGCTTTGGCTTTTGATTAGCTTCTGATTTGGCTTGGAATTGGCTTCTAATTTGGCTTGTAATTGGCTTCTAATTTGGCTTGTAATTGGCTTCTGCTTTGGCTTTTGATTGGCTTCTGATTTGGTTTGTAGTTGGCTTCTGATTTGGCTTGGAATTGGCTTCTAATTTGGCTTATAGTTGGCTTCTGATTTGGCTTGTAATTGACTTCTAATTTGGCTTGTAATTGGCTTCTGATTTGGCTTTTAATTGGCTTCTGATTTGGCTTTTAATTGGCTTCTGATTTGGCTTGTAGTTGGCTTCTGATTTGGCTTGGAATTGGCTTCTGATTTGGCTTTTAATTGGCTTCTGATTTGGCTTTTGATTGGCTTCTGATTTGGCTTTTAATTGGCTTCTGATTTGGCTTTTAATTGGCTTCTGATTTGGCTAAGTATCGAAGCCAAGGAACAGTAAACCCTTCCAGTAGATTTAGACTAAAAGTATCCCACTCCCAATCCAGTCATTACCAAATTTTCTAAAAAAAACTTGAAAAATTCCCCCGCAAACTTTTCCTTTTCCATCAATTACCAAAGATGACCTTGAAATCGATCAAACGATGCGAAAATCAAAATTCATTTATTGGATCAGTTCGAGAGAATTTGCATAGCTAAAATGCATGCATTCTCGTCGATTAAACATAAATTTTAAGGTTTTAGAATGGTTACAATGGTTTTAGAATGGTTTTAGAATGGTTTTAGAATGGTTTTAGAATGGTTACAATTCTGTAAACATCCTAAAACCTTCAAATAATTTATAACAAATCAAAAAAGTTCTCGCACACTTGTAAATGAAAGCAAAAACTTCATTTTACGAAATGAAAGCTCAAATAAAATGTTTTATAGTTATTTTGAAGCTGAAATCCTGCCATTTCTAGAAGTAAATGATTCTGACGAAAAATCTGTAGCTTTTTCAAGAAATCTGTAGCTGTAGCTTGCACTGATCTTGCAAATGTTGCACAAGAATGCAGCAAGGGTGTGTTTATGAGTGAACGGAAAGTACGTGCGAGCTTTTGCCATGCTCAGCCTCGATCAGCTGAGTTCAATGACGTCATGATCAAGTTTCTCGGGTTTAAAATATCGAAAGCCTTGAAACTTTGAAAATCCCCCAATTCCCCAAATCAAAAAGCAAAAAGGACTTCCCCAAATGCTCGCACACTTGTAAATGATTCATTTTACGAAATGAAAGCTAAAACAAAATGTTTTATAGTTATTTTGAAGCTGAAATCCTGGCATTTCTTTTTTTCAAATTCTGATCTGATTCTGATCAAAAATCTGCAGCTCTCTAAACCACATTTGCTATAAAATCGTTTTGAAAGTCGTTGGTAGATCTAGACGGGTTCCTAGTTAGATAGCTAGTTAGGTTCCTAGGTTCTGTCTACAATAATCCTGTCTACAATAATCCTGTCTACAATACTCCTGTCTACAATAGCTTCGTCTTGAAGCCAAAGGCCAGACTGGAGCGCCAGAATAGGTCAAACCTACCCTAGAGCTGTCTCTAGATCTAGAAGGGTTCCTAGTTAGATAGCTAGTTAGGTTCCTGGGTTCTGTCTACAATAGTCCTGTCTACAGTAGTCCTGTCTACAATAATCCTGCCTACAATACTCCTGTCTACGATACTCCTCTCTACAACACTCCTGTCTACAATAATCCTGTCTACAATAATCCTGCCTACAATACTCCTGTCTACAGTAGTCCTGTCTACAATACTCTTGTCTACAATAGCTCCGTCTTGAAGCCAAAGGCCAGACTGGAGCGCCAGAATAGGCTAAGCCTACCCTAGAGCTGTCTCGATTTGAGAACTCTGTACTAGCCGCTCCAGTTACTGTAGTACAACAGTACTACTGTATCTGTATCCTTAAAGACGTCCTTTGTACAGTCCTGTACAGTCCTTTCCTCACCTTTGTACAGTCCTCACCTTTCCTTTGTACAGTCCTTCCTTTCTACTAAAGAGGCAAACATTGCGAAATCTGGGCGCAAAAATAACAAACAAAAACGTAATCACGCGTGAATTTCGCTGAAATTTCTCCAAATCGGGTTCTTTTCCCATTCTTTTTTCCCGAAAATCTGTTCTTTTCGTCTTTTGGCTCTTCGATTTTGATTTTCTAGCGGTGAGAGTGAAAGGGGCTAGGTTACCGAACAACAAACCCATCAAATGTATCCATTTATCCAAAAGTACATCAGATATTTCACCGTTAGAGAAGTCGATTTAATTCATAATTGAAATTTGCTGTTATTGAAAATGTTTATTGGAAAAGATGGCCCCTGGTGGGCACGAATGGATGCTGAAGAGGTAAGGGGAAAGCTGATTTTTTGTTCATCTAAAAGTAAAGTAAAGTAAAGTAATTTGCATTAAGTATCTCAAGATTTATTAAGGCTGGAACTGGATTCGGTAGTTTTTTATAGGATTTGACAGGGAATATATAAAATTGTCTAAGAGTAGCTACCAGGGACAAGGCCGAAGCCAGAGCTTGAGCTTACAGCCAGAGCTTGAGCCTTGAGCCAGAGCTTGAGCCAGAGCTTGAGCCAGAGCTTGAGCTTACAGCCAGAGCTTGAGCTTACAGCCAGAGCTTGAGCCTTGAGCCAGAGCTTGAGCCAGAGCTTGAGCCAGAGCTTGAGCCAGAGCTTGAGCCAGAGCTTGAGCTTACAGCCAGAGCTTGAGCCTTGAGCCAGAGCTTGAGCCTTGAGCCAGAGCTTGAGCCTTGAGCCAGAGCTTGAGCTTACAGCCAGAGCTTGGGCCTTGAGCCAGAGCTTGAGCCAGAGCTAGAGCCAGAGCTTGAGCTTACAGCCAGCTTGAGCCTACATCTTTTACTGTAGCACTTTTTTTACTGATTGAGAGTTTTACTGATTTTTTACATGTTTACTGATTGAATGCAGCAGAAAGGGTGTGTTTATGAGTGAACGGAAAGTACGTGCGAGCTTTTGCCATGCTCAGCCTCGATCAGCTGAGTTCAATGACGTCATGATCAAGTTTCGCTGGTTTAAAATATCGAAAACCTTGAAACTTTGCAAATCCCCCGAATTCCCCGAATAAATCTCTCAAATGTGGGAGTGTTTCAAAGGGATCACGTAAATTTTTCTCTTAAAAAGTCGTATTTTTATCTGAAAATCAAACCGGTAACTTAAAAAAGCAATCATCCGTTTTTTCGTAATTCGTAATTGAACCCTTTTATCATATTTTGAAGATTTTTGAAGATCTAATTAAAGTAGATAGCTTTAAACCCCTAAAAATCTAGCATTTAGTGAAAATTTTCATCGAAATACAGTCGACTCTCGGAATAAAAAAAAACCAAAAAAAAATTTTTGATAGAGAATTTCAAATCGAAAATTTTTCCCTTTATACGGAGTTTTTCAATGCAATTTCATTTACATAAGTGTTTTTATTTATTTCTAAAAAACAATTCATAATAAAAAGAATAAAATCGTCTCAATATTGTTAAACTAAAACTTTTACAAAGTAGTAAAAAGATTCGTTAGCTTGCTTTGTTGAGAACGGTGGAGGCGAATATCTTCAAAACGTTCTTTCATTTTTTCTCATTTTCAAGCATCATAGCTTTAGGAGTGCCGTTTTGTTCTAAAAAATGCTAGCATCTTGTAGCCAGCATCTTGTAGTCAGCAGCTTTGCCAGCAGCTTTGCCAGCATCTTGTAGCCAGCAGCTTGTGGTCAGCATCTTGTAGCCAGCAGCTTTGCCAGTATCTTTGCCAGCATCTTGTAGCCAGCATCTTGTAGCCAGCATCTTGTAGCCAGCAGCTTTGCCAGCATCTTTGCCAGCATCTTGTAGCCAGCATCTTGTAGTATTACGTATAGTGGCTGAATGAGCTTTTCGTTGCTATCAATAGAATCTTCATTAAATTTGGCTATAGAAAAGTAGAATTTATTTTGTATGCTCAAGTGTAAGAACATGTGCTCAAAGTGGTCAGTCTTATCGACTCTGGTTTAGAAGCTCGATTCCAGTTCGATTTCGAGCTCGATTCCCCTTCGATTTGGAACTCGACTCCTCTTCGATTTCGAGCTGGATTCTAGTCCTATTTCGAGCTCGATTCTAGTCCTATTTCGAGCTCGATTCTAGTCCTATTCCGAGCTCGATTCTAGTCCTATTTCGAGCTCGATTCTAGTTCTATTTCGAGCTCGTTTCCCCTTCGATTTCGAGCTCGATTCCAATTCCAAAGTTTGACTCCAGAAGCAGCTTCTTTACTTATCTCTAAAAATAACCGAATCTTTCGCTAAACCCTCCCAATTTTCTCTTTAGGATTGATGAATCGTTCTTTTTTCAATCAAAAGACAGGTCAAATGTCTTTTCTTTTCCTCTTCTTTTCTCTCGAATTTCTCTTTTCTCATTTTTCTCTCTAATCAAGTGATATCGCCAGTGATCACACACACAAAATTTGGCGTCCAAAAAGAGAAATCTTCAAATGATTTGATGGTTTCTCTGCCTTTTTGAAGAGATTTTTAAAGTTTTCTATTCACTTTTATTGATTTGGATTCGTTTTTGAAAAAGGAGTAAACAAATTTTCACAAATTTTCACAAATTTTCACAAATTTCACAAATTACAAATTTTTATCGATTTTTCGATTGAATTCGTTCATTTTAAAGCTAAAATTTCTTAAAAAAGAAGAAAATAGATACCGTAAATACTGTAATAGTACCCAACCGCCCTCGTACAGTCGCGTAGTCACAAGTTTTTTTTAGTATTTTTAGTATTTTTAGTATTTCATCTTTTTTAAAGCGCCCGTACTTTCAAAAAGTACGTCTTTGGTATCAAAAAATAGCCCTGAATCTCAGCTATTTTTTGACACCTATGCGAGCACTGTAGCATAAACCAGTGTCGAGAAAAACGCATTTAAAGCTAGACTACGCAATACTCCGCACCGTCATTATGGGCGGGGGTACTATTACAGTATTTACGGTAGCTCTTTTTTTGAAAACCTTATTTTTAATTCATTGGAATAAAGTTTATTCATTTAGGTGATGCAAAATATTCTCCTGCAAACGTGTCTAGCGTTGGCCATGTTCATCACGACGGCCGTCGCTGGCTTTTTGCCGATAAAGGTTTGTCATTAGTGAGCTGATTGGAGCTCATTAGTAAGCTGATTCATTAAATCTGAAGCACACTCAAAAATAGCTAAAGAGCATTACAATTGTTTGTAAAGTTGAAAGCAAAGCAAAGTGTAAAGCAAATCAAAAACTTTTGCGCCACCGGGACTCGAACCCGCGACCTTCGGCTTACTGGACAAGTGTGTTAACCACCACACCACAACGCACTTCATTCCCTTGACTTCAGAGGGAGTCAAGTCATCGTAAACCAAAAAAACGGGCAACCAAAAACGGGACCACCGGGATATAACCGAGAATTACGTCTCGGACAACCAGTACCCGGTGGCCTAGTGGATAGTATCCTAGCCCTCCGCGCAGCTCTCCCTGGTTCGGGTCCTGTTGCTGCCACCACCTTTTTGCTGTTTGCAAATGAATGCCAAATGAAAACACAAAAAACCATTCTAAGCAGCAGGGGAGTCAAAAAATAAACCCTCTAGCGCGCCTTAGATCATTCGGTCATAAAGGAGCTTCACTAATTCGGCCTTTTTACAAAAAAAGGCCTCACTAACCCTCAAAACTAATTAGATTTTTTAAAATTAGATAAAAATAGACACCAATAGCCAAATTTTCAGCCAAATAGGTTCAGCCGTTTTTTCTCAAATCGCATAACAGACAGACATATTCTCTCTCTCTCTTTTAATAATTAGAGATTTCTATTTTTGTGTATGCTTTGATCCATTCGAAAGCTCTTGAGAACCTCGATTTTTTGAGCTATAGATCGTAAGAATCCAATAGATTTGAAGCAAGTTAGAAGCGTTTATAGTTTAATTTTGTAGTGTTCATGTGTAAAAGTTGATGTTATGCCTTTTAAAACAATGCTGACTAAATGACTAAAGTTGGAATTCAGATCCTTCGAATGCTAACGAAAAAGGACGGTTCACAATCACAATCGGGTGCTCGCTGGCTATCGCTTTTGTCTTGTTTCTCCGGTGGAGTGTTTATGGCCACATGCTTTCTCGATATTATGCCACATATCAAGTAAGTATCAAGTAAGTATCAAGTAAGTTCAAGTAAGTTCAAGTAAGCTCAAGTAAGTTCATCAAGTAAGTTCATCAAGTAAGTATCAAGTAAGTATCAAGTAAGTAGCAAGTAAGTATCAAGTAAGTATCAAGTAAGTATCAAGTAAGCTCAAGTAAGTTCATCAAGTAAGTTCATCAAGTAAGTATCAAGTAAGTATCAAGTAAGTATCAAGTAAGTTCAAGTAAGCAAGTTGAACAAGTTCGAAAGCACAAAATCGAAAAAATTGAATAAGTTTTGATATTCATTTCGATATTCGATATTACGAGATTGAAAGAGGGCTTAGGCGGTTGAAATCTCAAAAGCTGAGCCTGAGCGATTGAAATCTCGAAAGCTGAGCCTAAGCTATTGAAATCTCGAAAAGCTGAGCCTGAGCGACTGAAATCTCAAAAGGCTGAGCCTAAGTGATTGAAATCCCGAAAAGCTGAGCCTGAGCGATTGAAATCTCAAAAAGCTGAGCCTGATGGATGGAAATCTCGAAAAGCTGAGCCTGAGCGACTGAAATCTCAAAAATCATCAACGAATTTTCAGTGAAAACTACGCAACTTTCCTCTCAGTCACCAAATGGGATCCCGATCTTCCAATTCCTCAATTTTTCATCTGTATCGGTTTCTTTGTCGTTTATCTCATTGAAGAGGCTTGTATAAAGGTTTGTAATGTGATTTAGAAGAAGATTCTGGTGAGAGGCTACTGTAGAACTACTGTAGAAATGGTGAAAGGCTGTAGAATTGCTGTAGAAATGGTGAAAGGCTGTAGAACTGCTGTAAAGCTGGTGAATGGTTGTAGAATGGCTGTAGAGCTGGTGAGTGGCTGCAGAATTGCTGTAGAACTAGTGAAAGGCTGTAGAAATACTGTAGAACCGGTGAATGGCTATAGAACGACTGCAGAGCTGGTGAAAGGCTGTAGAATCCAGATATTGTCTTAATAAAGACACTAGATGCAACCGGATAGCTCCAAATTGCTTCGAATCCTGTTACTGTATCTTTAAGCAGCTCTTTAAAATGCAGAATGTTTCAGATTTTCTCAATGGGTCAAAATGGACATGGTTTACCCCCAGGCGGTCATCACGGTCATTCTCACGGGAATGGAGTCGCTTTCCACGCCGAGGATCTCCCGCCAGCAATTGAAGAACAGGTGAAAAGAAAAGAGCAAAGAAAGGAACAAAGAAAAGAACAAAGAAAAGAACAAAGAAATAGAGCAAAGAAAAGAACAAAGCTTTCCAAAGTCTACAAAGCCTCAGAAGTCTAATATTAAGCTTAATAGAATAGATTTTATATACTGGAATTTCTAAACGATATCTAGACGATATCTAGACGATTTCTAGATGATTTCTATACGAATCTCTAATTTCTGGATATCTAGACGATATCTAGACGATTTCTAGACGAATCTCTAATTTCTGGATTTCTAGACGATATCTAGACAATTTCTAGACGATATCTAGACGATTTCTAGATGATTTCTAGACGAATCTCTAATTTCTGGATTTCTAGACGATATCTAGACAATTTCTAGACGATATCTAGACGATTTCTAGATGATTTCTAGACGAATCTCTAATTTCTGGATTTCTAGACGATATCTAAACGATATCTAAACGATATCTAGACGATTTCTAGACGAATCTCTAATTTCTGGATTTCTAGACAATTTCTAGACGATATCTAGACGATATCTAGACGAATCTCTAATTTCTGGATTTCTAGACGATATCTAGACGATATCTAGACGATTTCTAGATGATTTCTAGACGAATCTCTAATTTCTAGATTTCTAGACGATATCTAGACGATATCTAGACGATATCTAAACGATATCTAAACGAATCTCTAATTTCTGGATTTCTAGACGATATCTAGACGATATCTAGACGATTTCTAGACAATTTCTAGACATATTTCTAATTTCTGGATTTCTAGACGAAACCCTCAATGGGTAAACCGTTGAAAGCTCGAGATCGTCACCGAATCTCTGAGTCGAGTAATGCAAATGTGATGACGTGAGTAATAATGAAATAAAGTAATGAAAAACTTTACACAATTGCTTGGTTTTATCATTTCTCACTAACACTTTCGATTTTAACATTGGAAATTTTAACATTTGCACTCACCTCTTTGCAGTGACGAAAAAGATGAGATGCTATTGGAAAAAGGTTTCGAGAGGGAGAAAGATCAAGCATCAGCAACGAGAAGATCCTATCACTCATTGCACGAGTTTGTTTTGCTATTTTTTTTCATCACCACAACGAATCACAAAGGTTTTCCAAGCACTGATTTTTCTGAATTCTCTTTTTGCACCGCATGACTCAGAGTTAACTGAAGATTTTCTTTGCTATTTTCTCAGAGTTGGGCAGATCAAAAACGTGAGCCGGGACTCGAACCCGCGACCTTCCGCTTACTAGACAACAGTGCTAACCACTACACCACAACGCACTAGACTCCCTTGACTCCAGAGGGAGTCAAGTCATCGTAAACCAAAAAAACGGGCAACCAAAAACGGGGCCACCGCGGTATGACCGAGAATTACGCCTCGGTCAACAAGTACACGGTGGCCTAGTGGATAGTATGCTCGACCTCCGTGCAGCTCTCCCTGGTTCGAGCCCCGAACTGACAGCCACTTTTTGCTTATTGAAAGGTCTACACAGGCTTTCTCTAATCAGATGGGGCAGATCAAAAACGTGCTTGGACTTGAACCCGACCCTTCCCTTAACCCGACCTGCCCCAAGCAACCGTGCTAACCACTACACCACAACAGACTTGATCTCCCTTCCCCCAGAAGGGGTTAACTTCAGCTTAGAGTCAATTATCTCAAAAAAACCTTTCAGTCTTGTCATGGAAGAATCGGTGAAATATGTCTCAGCAGACGGTCAAGAGACCTCATTCCTCAAATCGTTGACTTTCGCTGTGGCCATGTCGTTTCACTCAATTCTGGAAGGATTCGCTTTGGGGGTACAGGTGAGTTGATTACAAAAGAAGAATTCAATCCAAAGCATAAAGCAGATCAGATCTAGCAGATCTAGCAGATCTAGACGCTATTCTATTGTCGGCGCTATTGTCATTTTTCTTTAAATCCTCTCATTTCTAGGACACACCCAAGCGAATTTTCACTCTTTTCCTTTCACTTATCCTTCACAAAGGAATCGAAGCGTTCTCGGTGGGATTGCAAATCTCGAAGGCGAACACAAAGAGAGTCAAGGTATTTCTTGTAAGACATAAGGCTTCACCATTGAGCTGTAGCTGTGATAGAGCTTTGATAGAGCTGTGATAGAGTTGTGATAGAGCTGTGATAGAGTTGTGATAGAGCTATGATAGAGCTGTGATAGAGCATTTGTCCAAAGCGAGAGGTCACGAGTCCCAGCCATCTCTATCTTTTGAATGATTCAATCTATCAGGTTGTCGTTTGCACAATTCTCATCTACGCCCTCATGACACCAATCGGAAGTGCGCTGGGCACATGGCTTGAGGTTTGATTTGGGCGTTTTTCGAGCGCTTTCACCTTTGCTGTTAAATCGTTAAATCGTTTCGAAGTTTCGCAAAGAAGATCGCTTACAAATGCTAAAAAAACCTAAAACCCATTCTTTCTTTAAGCATTCAGATAATTTCTGAAAAATTCTAGACCTCCGACATCGATCCATTGCACAAAGAGGGGGCCATTGTAATCTTGGAGAGTTTGGCCGCTGGAACATTCATCTATGTGACATTCTTGGAGGTGAGTGAAGGGTCAGGAGAAAAGCTGAATGCAATTCACCCGGTTGATCCGTTCATTGACAAAAACCCAATTCAAGGTGTTGGCTTCTGAGAAAGAGAACGAGCACGACTCATTGAAGCAATTGTTGGCGATTTTTATTGGTTTCGTCGTCATCACAGCATTACAATTCGCTTTCGGGTGAGGAAAACTTTCAAAAAGCATTTTTGGCCTACAAAAAGCCTACTTTTTGACCTACAAAAAGCCTACTTTTTGACCTACAAAAAGGCCTACAAAAAGGCCCACAAAAAGCCTACATTTTGGCCTACAAAAAGCCTACATTTTGGCCTACAAAAAGCCTACATTTTGGCCTACAAAAAGCCTACTTTTTCTCCAAAACTATATAAATGCACCACTTTTGGCGTATCCACTACATTTCTCATACATATTTTTCTACTTATATTTATTTATATTTATATATTTTTAAACTATTCAAAACGTTTAGCCAGCTATTAAAAGAAAACGATAGAGGTATATTGCTTCGCTTTTTTTGCAAAATTTGAATAAATTTAAAACTAAGCCCTATTTTTTAGTGGTCATGGCGCTCACACGGGTGCTCACGAGCACGAGCACTCAACAACTACCACCATGGTGCCTGGACATTAATTATTTCGTCAATTCAACTACAGTAAACCCTGGGACTAATATATCGAACAGTACATTGGATTTTGTAGAGTATTAATTGAAAATAGGCTACTGTACTGCTATGAGTGCCGTAATCCGACCAATTTGCACTATAAGTTGGATTACTGTAGCTTCTTGCTATTTCATAGTATTCTTACAGTATTTCTCTAGCCTTCATTGTATTTGATGAGAAATCTACTTTTTAGCAAATTACGATCTGGATTACGGTAGCCTCAAAAAATTTAAGTGCCTTTTACCTGTTTGCCATTATTTTTTCGCCAGATCTACCTTAATTTCATCTTTTTCTCAAAAAAAGCGGTGCTTCTCATAAAAAAAATGATTCACTTATTCAAAAACGTTCACTTTTACAAACTTCCATGTGATTTTTCGTGTAACTTTATAGTTTTTATGCTAATATTCGATGCGTTTCACACGGATGAAAAATGCTGTGCATTCAAAAGCTTTAATCCATCCAAAAAAATTGAAAAATTTCTTTGAAAAACCCTAATATCTATCCACCATTTTCAAGCATCCCGGTTTGTTGTTGTCACAAAAACTCACGATTGTCATTTTTATTTTCTTGTACTTTCTATTAGTTCTTTAGAGGTCTATGCATTTCAATTGTGTATTTGTAATAAAAATGATTTGGTAAAAAAGAAAAAACAATACCCGTAAAAGAACAGATTTATTCAACGATGGACGTTCCGTTGGTGTCACTCAACATTCGCACCAGTCGCACCGCCATTGCCACACCGACTCGACGTCCGTTTTCGGCAACCTAAAAGCAAAAATATCTAGAGCAAGGAAACAACTTCAATTTCAGTTGTTCAAGAAAATGCGATCTTACCAAATCAGCAATCTGCTTCGTTGCCACATCAACACCAACACTTCGAATCCAATCGATACCTATAGAGATTTAAATGCAACTCAAATGTGAAAGCAAAAACCTTGCACTGGGTTCTCAATTTTTCGCATGATCGCTCTTCTTGAGGCATCGGAAAGACGATATATCCTTGACAACATTAGGCTCCACCAATCCTTCACAAGATCGGGCCCATCTCGGATTCCCTAAAAGCGAACTTTAAATTTTGCACTTAAATAGCTTAAAGGGCATAATTTTCTTACCTTTGCCCCATCCTGAAATTGCGCACTCGAGTGGCCGGTGTGTGGGTTAAATTTCGCCAATCCTTTTGTCATTTGCACAAGATGATGCGCCAGAATGTCTGCATTTTCACAGATCTTCAGCTGTGCGCGCAATGAGGCAAACAAGTCGATATTGAGCGAGAAGAGCTGAAAGATCCAACCTATGAGTGAAACATAAAGTAATACCTTATTCGCGGAGATTTTTGGCAGTCCGAGACACGCAATCACCAAATGCGAGGTGCCGAGCGGGAGTGAAAGCTGAAAATCGAGAAAACGCTCGATCATCACTTATTTTATCCACAACTTACCTTAATCCTTTCAACTGTTCTGCCAAAAATCTTGTTTTCATTCGTCAGCGCTTCCCCGGTGATCACGTAAACGAAAAAGGATTGAGTTTCCTAAAAGCGCAAATTTTTAATGCCAACATACTTAACTACTATTTAAAAATTTACTTGATACTCAAATCTTTCCACATCTCCATCGTCTTTCTCGGCGATGTCAATATAGGCTCGGTGGAATTCGATCTAAAATTTGTTGTGCATATCCCCAGGATAAAAATCCACGTTCCACGGGATATGATTAGTAACACAAACCAGTTCTGGGTCTTGTCCATCTGTGATCACTTGGAGTTGCTTCTCCAAATCACGGTCAGCGAAAGCACACCTAATCGCCGTCTCAAAGCCATCGAAAAAAGAAAATTTAGAGTTCCAAAAAAAGAGCTGTCAATAATTTTAGATTTTTAAAAACCCACCAAACTTCTCAAAAATCGAGCGTCTCACATGGCAGAACAGATATTTCTCAGCGTTGGTCTTAGTCGAAGATTGAATTTCGCGTTCGATTCGCGCGCGTTTCTTTTCAACCTATTGTATTACTTCGATCACACTAGAAGCAGATTACAAACAAACTTCTTTTTGTTGTTTTTCGGCAAGTCGCTTCCGTTGTTTAGCTTCTTTTTCTTCCTAAAACAATGTAGTTGTCAAAATCCATGGCAAATACAACTAACCACTTTCACTGCAAGCTCATCTTTCCGTATTAGTCGTTTTGTCTCTCGTTGTTTCTAAGAAAAATTTTGATCAGTTTAGATTTTCTTTTCCTACCGCTTTTTGCTCCTTCTCACTAATTTCTTCGTTCAACTCTTCCATATCCTGTCGTTTTTGTGGCTTCAACAATGGGTCATTTTTATCTAAAATCAACACTTTAGTAAAAAAAATTAGCCTTAAAAAAAGTTTCACACCGATTTTCTTTGTAGTTGCCTGATCGTTCTCCTTTTCTTCCACAGTTAAGCTAGACGAATTGCTTGGTGGGGTAAATAGTTTCTAAAATGAATATTCAGCTGTTCGAAAGAGTACCTAAAAGCCTATTAAAATATAAAAAACGAACTTTATCCATCTTTTGCTCTTCTCGAAACGAGTCGTCATCCAAAACAATCAAATCGGGTGAAAATTTTCGGCTCATCGACGGAAAAATCGGTGGTGGGTCAAACTGGATAAACATGATTGGAGAATCACTGCTTTTCCAATCAAAAGACAGCATGAATTCCATAAACTTAAGCTCAGAAGAGAGAGTAAACTTTAAAGATCCACCTGCTTTCCATCAAGTCCATCCACAAACGAGTCTTCGATGATCGATAAATTTGGTGTCTTCTTCGTACTCGGGTTGATTGATGCTGAAGTTGTCTAAATAAAAATTATAGAATTGTATTTTAGCGTGCAAATTCTCAAACTTAGAGCTAGTAAGATACCTGTTGATGACTCAAAAATGATTCTTCAATGACAAACATTGGCGAGTCCTCCTTGGAATTGATTAAATCTGCTTGAACAGGCGGTGGTGATTGCTTCTAAAATAAAAACAACGTTAGAGACTTGAAATTAGTTCTAGAAATTTGAGTTATTCATAGATCCTAAAGATATAAAATTAGAAACGCACACTTTCCTTAAAAATACCTCTTCTTTATTCAATTTACAGTTGAATGAGCTCTCAAAAGAAGATCGTTTGCGTGAACTTCGACGAGAACTTTCACCAGTTGATCGAGTTGGCGTTAGGGTAACCTGAAAAGGAAAGTGGCCATATAAAAAAACAAAATTGGCTTCAGTAAGACTTCAGTAAAAACAAACAAACTTTATTTTGCATACACAGAAACGAATCCTCAACAATCGAGCTTTCCAGCGATCCATTAAGCAACAATTGGACGGTATTTGAAGTAGATGGAACCGGCTAAAAGAAAAGATATGTAATACGCTCTCTAAAAGATTTTTAGCAACATTTACTACTGAAAAACTGTTTGATCCAACCAAATTTCACAACACTCTTGACTACAAGTGTTGTGGTTTAGTTTGTTACTGGATTCATGCAAAATTTTTGCACATAAACGTTAAGAGTTCTCCTCTCAAGACTTTTACATTTTACAATATCTTTTCTCAAATTTTACCTCTTTTTCCTTCGTCGTTTCCCCATCAGAAAGCCAAACGATGTCGCTGTCATCGGCCATACCCGGAAATAGATGAACCGTTAGAAATAAAAGCTGCCTCAAAAGATTTCAAACTGGAAAAAGGTGATAAAAATGAGCGATAAAAGGTTTCAATACAAAATTCCTAATTTGATATCTTTACCTCCAGTACTCTTAGGATTTACATGTCGAAACCGGTCAAAATAGGCTCTTTGTAAGTTCCATCGCTGGCCAAAAAACATCTGCAAATAGAGGGATTCACAGCATTGTTTTACTTTTTGAATGCTTGATCTTAAAGATCTGGAAAAAGATATGTTTAGATCCACAACTACAGAAAAAATTTGATTTGGCAAAAACATAACGTTTTTAAAAACGATTCTGTGAACCCCCAAAACTTTGATCAGAATTTCCAGCAAACAAAACGTGAAATTCAACGATATTAAGATTTTAACGAATCTCCGCCGTTCTTTCACAAATATTTAACATACTTCAAAGATTTATAGCAAATAGTGCATGATATCAATGTGCAAAGAAAGAGTAACAAGAAAAATAAGTTTTAGAACAATACTAACAAAATCTGTACAACGTAAAAGCAACCTATTCGGGCAAATACTTGAAAAGATGAATCATCATTTGCGCGTTTTCGAGAATATCCTGGAATGAGACCATGATGACGCACGTTTTCCCAATGGAATCAATCCTTTTCTTGTAGAAATACTTAGCTTTTCCGGAAAAGTCAAGCTCAAAATCTCGGTATCCATCAAAACATGACCAGTTAAAAGCATTCCAAAAGTGACAATCGTGTTTCTTCGGGTCAGCGATGAGTTTCATCATGTATTTGGCTTCAATTGAATTTAAACCCACCTTTTCGAAAGAAAACAGTCCGCCAATTTCGGTAGCGTGCATCTCCAAAATGCTTTCTGTATAGCACTGCAACTGTCCTGTCATTATAACGTAGAGTGCATCGTCATTTGGAAGACCCGTTTCTAAAATTGTTTCAACAGCTCCAAAAAAGCTCCCAACTGTATCTTCGCGACTCCAAATCATTCGATTGTTAGCCTTTTTCAAACCATTCGAATAGAGGTCCATAAAATTGGTTGACGCAAACATTCGACAATCGGAAAGCACCGGCTTCTGCAGTATATTCTCGAAGTATTTTTTAACCACTTCAACCATTTCTGCATCAGGCGCATTGCGTACAAGCCAACACCGCGGATCATCAAAATGAGTCAATGAAACGATGCATGAATTGAGGACCCTTCCCTCGAGTTTGTTGAGAAATTGACGAACCACTGGAAACGGGGCCTGGAGTGCGAAATCGTAGATCATTCTTTGCTGATGACGCTTCAACTTGAGGCAATCGGCCAGCTGCGCGAACTTGTCGAAAACAAATTGATTGGCGATATCCACTCGATAGTCGATGATGATTCGTTCGCAAAACTTGATCTTTCCAATAAGCGCGAAAACGGTTTTCTTGTGCTCGGTTTGAAATTTGCTTAGGTTTCTCTGATTTCCATGAAAAAACAACATCATTTTTCTAATGTTATGTGGAGACACCATGAAGCCGATGAAATCCTCGGGCGTTGTTTGGATTTCGAGAAGAATATCGTCGTGCTCGGGCATCTTTGCTTTTGGAGCCCTCGGTACGCGTGACACGGTCAGTTTGTGGACTTTCTGAGGAAACGGTCCATTCTTGAAGACGTGGTCGCGAAAATATTGGTGGCACCTCATCAACTCAAGTTTTTCTGCCACTCCGACGTGTTGCAGCACCATTTCTCGGAGCTCTGGTGACAGTTCACCAAACGGAATCATGGTCGATGCCTGAAAAATAGAAAATTAGGAAAACATTTTAGGAAAACAGAAAAGAAGAACAAAAAAAATTGGGGTGCTAGTAAAAGCGCGAAATTATTTCCGCCACGTATCATTTGCGCCAAAATTGCGCTTTTCAACACACTTTCCTACCAACTCTGATTGAAAAATGGATTTTTTTTCAGCTTTTCTTCGTCGAATCGGGCTATTTTGCCGCCTTCACCGGCTCTGAAGCATAAGAACGATAGAGAGTAAAGAGCCCAACCCGGGACGCAAAAATGACTGTTTTTGGGGTCTGTATAGGTATTTAAACGTGTTTTCTAAATGAAAACAATGAGAACTAAAAAAAGTTGGTTAGAAGTTGGGAAAAATGGATTTATTACAGTGATTTTCATAAGTGTAAATTTTCTTGGAGCTGTTGGAACAATTTTCGAAACAGGTCTTCCAAATGACGATGCACTCTACGTTATAATGACAGGACAGTTGCAGTGCTATTTTTTCATAAGTGTAAAAAACGTGACGCTTCTGCCAGCACCCCAACAAATTTCTACTTGACTAAGAAATACGAAAATGATAGATTTTGCGTTTGAATCCAATTAAATAGCTTAGGAACCTTGAAAGAGATATTCAGCTTTTCAATTGAGTATTTTTATTTTGCTTTTTGATTATAAAGTTAGCGAAGCGCCACAAATGGAGCATTTTTTTTCGGTGTTTACTAATCATTTTTTTTGTTTTTTGACTTACGATTCAACTTTTTGAACATATTTTTTTAATAAATTGCTTTTAGCGCCAAATCGTCGATAACGTTTCTCTTAACGATCATCGATAATGGTGCAACATGTAAGGGTTTGCTTTTGTAAACTGTTGTTTGTCAAATATTAGGTTGATGCATAAGTCTTTTTGTTCCTTTTCGTCTGCCGTTTCAAGCCAACAAATGCACCAATTAAACTACGGTTGATTTCATTAGAAAAAGCAATTATTTTTCTGCAAAATAACATTAAAACGGGTTTAAAAATATTTTATGCCTGGATTTTCTTGAGAGTATGAAGTCGGGTAGTCAAAAAGGGCTAACTCGATGATGCGGTTTAGACACCTTAGCTAAAGAAAACCTATCTTCGTGTCAATAGATAAAAGATAGAGAAAAAAAAGTTTGATATTTCGCCAAAATTTCAGAGAAATTCATTCAGCCAATTTTTCCGTAGAGTTTTTTATAGATTTTTACGAAAAAGGCGTTTTTCACTCTCGCATTTGCTTGAAAGTGAACCGAAATTGATTTTAAAAGATGGAAATTGAACAAAAAACACTTTTTTTATAGAGCAAACTATAGATTAATTGGTGAATTTGTTACTTTTTAACAGAAGTACGAAAAAAACGAAAAGACTTATGCATCAACCTATTAGAATAATTACTTTGATATTTCAAAAAATTTATTGAATGTTCAAGTTTAGAAGAAGTTCGCGAGCAGCTCGGACGAAGAAGATGAAAAGAAAAAGAAGAAATCGGAGAAAAGGTTAGTGTTTAACTGATGTACTTCAAGTTTCTAGTTACTAGACATCATAATTTTAGACTTTACGTATGAATTAGCTAATTCTTGATGACTTCCGAAACCCAAAATTGTGTTTAGTGATTTGATTCGACAAACGGAGCACGACCGGGCGAAGAGACAAGAGCGGAAAGATCGAAATGAGCGCGATGAATCTCGAGAAGATCGACGGAAGCAACGGAAAGTCGATGAAGAAGAAAGGGAGAGGACCGATAGAGGAAATAAAGCTAAGGTAGCTTACATTATTATTAGATAAGAGTTATTACAATCAAGGAAAATTTATTCTTTTAGAAAAAGAGACACGATGAGGACAAGTTGAGACAAGAGAAGGGGAAAATTCGCCGGGAAAGGTTTGAAACTTTTGTTGTTTTAAAAGAATGCGCACTTTTTATGGCAAACCTGAAACCTACTGAGCTTAGCAATTGGTCTTAAATTGGCATCTTTCGATTTGTGAACAAATTTAAAGCTATACCGAAATCTAAAGACCTGAATTACCATGTTTTTTATTCAGAGAAGAACGTGAGTCATCCGATGCACCGGCTTGGTCGACAAATCGCGTCAAAGAGCACGCGGCGAAAATCAAAGAACGCAAACTGTTGTGGCAAGGCAAACGGGAATCGGATGTGAATGAAACGGTTTGTTGTTGGCTTTAAAAAGGTTAACGATATGTAACTTGCCATTTCTTCACTTTTTAGGATCAACCATCAACCTCATTCACTGATCAACAAGCTGTGAAGAATATTGGTAGGTTTCTATACTAAAAGTTGGTATCTAATTATGTTAAAAAGCCGAAGTTTTAAAATGTTTTCATTCAGGAATGTGGTCATCAGCAATTGCAGCCACTGGTGTCGACGATAAACAAGCGGAGAAGTTCAAGAAATTGCTGGGATTTAAAGGAGCACAAAAGGATGTGAAGGAGGTAGTTTGTCTATAGTTAGAATTAATTTAGGAATTGTACTCAAGCGAAACAGCTTAGTTTACGAACTGTACCGCCCGTTTTTAAAAATTTTAATAGTCAAAAACAAAAGCTGCTGAAATCCCCATAAATAGTGCATTTTTCAGTCAACCGCCTCAAATGTGAATGCGGAACGAGCGAAACAACAGAATCTCCTCAGCTCGCTCGATCAGCAATTCTCGACGGCTCGCCAAATGACTCGAAATTCACGTGGATCCGGTCTCGGGTATCATTAAATGTTATTATTTTGTTGTTATTTAAATTTTATGACTTTTCATTGCTTTAAGAATGAATTTGATACGAAATTCTGGCTCCGTCGAAAAGTTTTACAAGCCAAGGCCTAACTTTCATTTTTTAGTCACAAACAGAGTGTAGCAAAGCCATGAAATATGATTTTTGCACGCAGGCGAGTTCTCGTTTTAAAGGCTATGATTAAGTGAATGGGAATAAATCATTTCAGAGCACACAAAAACAACGTGAAGGGAAAGACCTTCCTGTGCCCCTCAATCCGTCAACAATAAGCACTAGTCTGTGCTCTGCCCCAGAAAATAACATCTGTGCAGTGGGAATTTGTGTACACATCAACCACGAATTGAGAAATCTTGTTTCTCGAAGCAAAATACAGCCCCGAACTAAAGTTTTTAACAGGGTTACGGTAGCTTGAAGACAGGTCCAGAGTGGTTCACGGCACACGGCCCTGGATGTGGGATTGCACTTAGGCAATTAAACCGAATGAGATATCCAAAAATAAAGCAATTTTCTTTAAAAACTAATAACGGAATCGAATTCCTCATTCTCGAAAACCCGTGCTTGCAAATTTTCAGCCCAATTGACCTCAAAGTGCTAAATCCACGTACGGCCGTATTGGTGGGCCGTATCGTCGTGTGTTAAAAACATGCAAGTGATTGAGAAGACGTAGAAGCTATAAAAAAAGAAAAAAAAGAATGAAAGGGAGAGATGGACATGTGATGTGACGCTGAGTGACATGTAGTAGAGGAGATCTTCTCCCTTCTATCTCAACCTCATCCCTACCCTACTCCCTCCTCTTGATTCCCATAGATGGCATTGGATGAGATGGATGGATGGATGGGTGAGAGAAAGGAGAAAATGAGAAAGATGAGGAGACGGGTGGGATTGAAGATTGAGGGATGGATGGGTTCTCCTTCCTTCCCTTCTTCCCTTCTTTCTCACTCAACCATTTCTCTCTGCATTTCATTTTCCGAACTCTAGAGTTGTGATTGTTTTCAGCTACTATTCAGTATTTTTTAATTCTCCAAATGAAACTTTACGACCGATTTCTCCCTATTGCTTTGATTCATTACGCGAATCCGTTTCTAAGAGGCACTTATTTTAGAGCAATTCACAGTACTCTCACCATCAGTTTTCATCGTAATTTTAGTTATATTCAATGAGGAATCAGGCTTAGTCAAAGATTCAAAAATTGGGCTGATTAAATGAAAAGTAGCTGTGGGATTACGTTGGTTTACCTAGAATAGGCGTATTTTAGAAAGTGTTGGATTGGATTGGATTGGACCAAAACATTGGATTCATTGAGAAATTCTCGAAAAAAGCCCAGTTCCTTTCATAGATAGACATTTTATGTATGAAATTGATGGAAGGGTAACCGGGGAAAAGGCTTTTTCTGAAAGGGGACGAGATTGATGGATTGATGGGTTCCTGCTAAAGAAACCCCTTTCGGAAAGACATTTACCCTCAATGATCAACGTGGGAAAAGGCTGGGAATTTTGGATTTTACTAATTGACTCATTTGACTTTCTCATTATCACTTTCTTTCACTTTCTTTCACTTTCTTGTTTCCCTTTAGAATTTTTATATCAACTGCTTGTAAACAGAATTGCTTTAAAAAGCTTTTTGGTCTTTTTCCTTTTCTTTTTCCTTTTCTTTTCAACAAAGGTCTTTTTCGCTTTTGAAAGGTAAATTTTGGGTTTTAGATTGGCAATGGCTTAGCTTAGCCTGAGAATTTTGATCTATTAGACTGTCCAGAAAGGTTTTCGTTCCTTTTTGTTCTGTTTAAAACCAACAAATTCACCATATGAACTACGGTCGCGTACAGTCGTGTAGTCGAAAGTTTTTAGTCGAAAGTTGATTTTTTTCAAAACGCTTGTAGTTTCAAAAAATGCGTTTTTGGTATCAAAAAATAGCCCTGAATTTCAGCTATTTTTTGATACCTAAGCGAGCATTGTAGCATAAACCAGTGTCAAGAAAAACGCATTTAAAGCTAGACTACGCAATACTCCGCACCGTCATTATGGGGGGCGTTCTATTTACGGTAAAATTGATGAATTTATTATTTTTCAAATACGAAAAGAAACGAAAAGGACTTTCTGGACAGCCTTCTGTAAAGCACAGTCGAATAATGCTGCTTCATACTTAATGCTTAATGCTTAATGCTTAATGCTTAATGCTTAATGCTTAATGCTTAATGCTTAATGCTTAATGCTTAATACTTAATGCTTAATGCTTAATGCTTAATACTTAATACTTAATGCTTAATGCTTAATGCTTAATGCTTAATGCTTAATGCTTAATGATTTGGTTACGATAGAGCGGAAAGCACTCTACGTCACACTCACCGTCATTTCCCTGTACCTAATCCTAATCCAGTACTTTTTCAAACAATCTACAGTCAAATTCTACTCTTTCTTGCCTACCGAATCTCTAAAAACCCTCAATCGATACTTATGAGGGGAAATAAATGAGTTGTGTGTGGAGGGATTGCCTTGGTTTGAGAAGGAAAAGACCCGATGTCTTGTACATCAATCATAGATGACGATAATGGATGTGTAGGGTGAAAGAAAAGGGGGGAAAGAGATGGGGAAAAGAAAGAGGAGGGAAATATCGAGAGAAAAACTGAGAGGAAGAAAGAGGGGGTGGCGGGCTGTCGAAACAAACACTCACAATTCGATGAGAAAGCATTTTGATCGACCTCTTCATATAGATTGGCTATTTGGCGATCCAAAGTGACAGTTTTTTTCCTCTCATTTTCTGAGATTTCCATATGCGGATTTGGCTTTTCACTTGTTTAATCCAGACTTTCAACTATTGTGCTCAAATTGGGCTTAATTGGGCTCAAATTGGGCTCAATTGGGCTTAAATTGGCTCAAAATTGGGCTTAAATTGAGTCGTATTGTGCTTAAAACTATTGTGCTTAAAATTGGGCTTAAATTGGGCTTAAATTAGGCTTAAATTGGGCTTAAATTGGGCTTAAATTGAGTCGTATTGTGCTTAAAACTATTGTGCTCAAAATTGGGCTTAAAATTGAGCTTAAATTGGGCTTAAAATTGAGCTTAAATTGGGCTTAAATTGGGCTTAAATTGAGTCAAAAATGTTTACCGATCGTTCGTAAACATTTTCGACTCAATTTGAGCTTAATTTGAGCCCAATTTGAGCCCAATTTGAGCCCGATCATTCTCTTTTGATCGTTCTCGATCTCGATCTCGATCGTAAACTTTGAACTCTCGCAAACTCGCATTTCTGGTGCACTTCTATAGATTTAAATTGATAGGATTGTAGTAGGATTGTTGATTTATTGATTTTTATAGATCAAATCAATAAATCGATTAAATGGGCCGTCGAAAGCAAATTCGACCGATGAAAATCGACACCGATTCGGAGAAAATCAAAGAAATAGAGGTAAAAACAAGAAATTGAAAAAGAAATTGATAAAAATGATATTCAAACTTGTAAATTGATTAAACTAGCGCTTCTTTAAGAAAGCTTTTCAAATGAATTCACTTTCAGCAGCCGGCAAAACCAACAACAACCCCCAGCATCTCCAGCATCTCCAGCATCTTCAGTGAGCCTAGTGAGCCAAAAAGCGATCAAAAAATGAACATAGTAAGTCAATTTTATTTATAAAACTTAGTTTAGATATAAAATTTGAATATATGGATACCCTTGAGTCTTTAGATATTGGAAAATCCACGAAAAAGACGACATTCACCGGAGAGAGCTTTTCCAAAGAATCCCTCCAAATCCGCAAATCCACTCGAGGCACTCGAGCGATCGTTGGAGAAAATTCAACCGAAAATCGGTGCAGGTGGGTGGAAAAGGAAAATGTTGATGAGCAAAAGTTCAAGAATGATTTCCGACTTTAACTAAGAATGTTAAGAAGAATGTTAACTAAGAATGTTAACTAAGAATGTAAGAGCCCATACTTGTGCTACTTTAAGTGATTGATGAGTGAATTGTATTCAGAGAATCCGGTTTCGGATAAAGGATCGGATAAAGGATTGGATAAGGGATTGGATAAAGGATCGGATAAAGGATTGGATAAAGGATCGGATAAGGATCGGATAATCAGCTCTATACTCATCTCCTTAAAATCTCTTAGTTTTCTAGCTTTGTACCCAAAGTGAGTACCCAAAGTTTCGAATCGCAAAGTTAAATGAAAAGTGTGCAAGTATACAAGCACGTCTATAGTTTACGAGTTACAATACGACAGCTAAGCTTACAATACGACAGCTAAGCCCAAAGAAAATCCCTAGAAGAAGGATAAAGGGTGCCGAAAAGCTACTGGTTTAATCGGTTCAAATGGCGCAGTGGCAGAGCTTCTGTGGATGGAGCGGGGGGGTGGTCTGTCGAGTGGGTTCGATCCCGCTTGGTGCATTTGAATTTTGAATTTTACAATTTTCAATCTGGATCTCGATTCTTCGAAATAAAGATCTTTCAAGAAGAGAATGAGGGAAGGGGAAGTGAGATGAGGGAGGGAAAATGTAGCTGACGATGAGATCGAGGGGACGAAAAAAATCTACTTCTACGAAAGTAGAAAAGTCAGATTTCGATGCATAGCATTTTAAAAGAAGATATTCAGCTGTAAATTTGTAATTTCTAAATTCAGCTGGGGTTTTGAGGGTCGGCGAATCGATTGGAGATATTTGAGTCTATCAATTAGAACTTTTTACCAGATTCTGGAGTCTAGGTGAAGTTTAGTAAGTAAGTTTAGTAAGTTTAGTATGTTCAGTAAACTCTTTAGTAAGTTTAGAGTACTAAGAGCCGTCCAATCTAAATCTACATGCAATAATATGCATAAGATTCTCTTTACCCAACAATATTTTTAGTTAACGAAGAAAATGTGACGGCTAGAGGTCCGGTGATCAAAACGAGCTCATTTTCAACGATTCCAGGTGAGTGGATGGAGATTTTTTGAGTTGTGCTACAGTAGATTGTGCAAGCTACAGTAGATCTAAGGCTACAGTAGATCGAAGGCTACAGTAGGTCTAAGGCTACAGTAGATCTAAGGCTACAGTAGATCTAAGGCTACAGTAGGTCTAAGGCTACAGTAGATCTAAGGCTACCGTAGATCGAAGGCTATAGTAGATCGAAGGCTACAGTAGATCTAAGGCTACAGTAGGTCTAAGGCTACAGTAGATCTAAGGCTACAGTAGATCGAAGGCTACACCTAAAGATTTGTGCATCTACAGTAAGAAAGATTACGATAGTTTTGAGGAAGGAGCATTTTCTATAAGTGAATCTTTACAGTTCTCCTTTCAGCCACTTTCCCCTCAACGTCATCGGATGGTTTGTGTTCGTTGTACAAATTCGTTTCCTCAATCCACCATTCCGAGAGAAGCTCACCGAAAACCCATCAAGAAGAGACTTGTTCGGTGAGCTGAATATCTTTTAAGCTTCTTTTTAAAGGCTTTGTAAAGGCTTTCTAAAGGCTGGCTTTCTATAAGCTTCTATAAGCTTCTATAGGCTTTCTAAAGGCTTTCTATAGGCTTTCTATAGGCTTCTATAAGCTTCTATAGGCTTTCTAAAGGCTTTCTATAGGCTTTCTAAAGGCTTTCTATAGGCTTTCTATAGGCTGGCTTTCTATAGGCTTTCCATAGGCTTAAAACTACTGTAACAAAAGTACTGTATCTAAACAAAAGTACTGTATCGTGCTATAAACGATTCATTTTCAGATTCTCCGCTGTTTAGAGTGCGGTGCGGCTTTCTCACAAATGGATCACCTCGTCGCGCATATGACAACGACAAGACACTTCGCTCCATTGACACAAAGAGCAAATCAGAATAATGGGTGAGTTCATAATCAATATTTACAAGATGCTTAGTGCGAGGCGCTAGCCGCTAGCCTTCGCACTAAGTCCAAGTCTAAGCCTGAGCCTAAGCCTAAGCCTAAGCCTAAGTCCAAGCCTAAGCTCAGTTATTCAACATATTGCGCGAGCTGATCAAACCAGCGCCAAAAACGAATACCATACAAAAAGTAAGCGACTATCGACTATCGTAACAGCGTTTCTTTTTTCTTTTCATTCTCTTGATATTATTCAAACATTGTTATTGAAATTTCAAAATACAGCAAGAAATAAGCATTGTTAAGTATTGTTATAAGATGCTTTGACATAACATACGTTGTACTAACAATTTAGCTTATCAGTGGAGCTTATCAAAGGTTTAAAAAAAGTAACAGTGAAGAATCACAAAAACAAAAACTAAGTAAAATGAAGATACGCAAGATAGCTATATATGGAAGATAGCTAGATATGGAAGATAGCTAGATAAGGAAGATAGCTAGATACGGAAGATAGCTAGATAAGGAAGATAGCTAGATATGGAAGATAGCTAGATACGGAAGATAGCTAGATACGGAAGATAGCTAGATAAGGAAGATAGCTAGATACGAAAGATAGCTAGATACGCACGCAAGCTAGATACGCAAGCCAAACTAGATACGCACGCAAGCTAGATAAATGCTCAACACCCAGGAACCCAGGACGTTTACCCAGGAAACCAACTTTAAAAATCTACAAGTATTAGCTTATAGGAAAAGGAATTAGTATTAGCTTATAGGAATTAAATTTTTAAAGTAAAATTAGATAAAATTCGATTTCAGATGGTCGTTGCCCAGTCCAGCGCATCGAAAATCTGCTCAATTTGTCACAGAACTGCCGAAAAACCCGGCAATTCCAAAGGCTACAGATTGCAGGTGATAGATCTAAGATAATTGGATACTATAGATATATTTATCAGAGAAAATTCTAGATTTTACGTTTCAGAAGCTTTTCTCCAATGACTTTCTCGAATTTGCTGCCTCCAGGGCTGGGGTTGGCTTGCTCACACTGTGGAGAGACTCCAGAGAATATTGGTGGGTGAAACATTTTTAGATTTTAGTTATATTATATCAAAAATGGTAGATATATCTTATCTATCTAATATTTAGAGCCGAATATGATTCTCAACCGAAAGTATTTGACAGTTTGGTTAGCCGAAAGTGATTACCGTATTATCTCTAATAGTGCACCCAGTCAAGCCGAGTTGGCGACGATTTTACGGTTGCTAACCTTCCCCAGAAGCTCAACACTCTAATCATCGTCAAGATCTCATCGTCAGCTACATTTTCCGACCCCACATCGATAGGTTCTGATAAGCGGTTCTCGAGATTTCGACCAATTTAGGCGAAGCTTAGAGTGCACTACTATTAGAGAGAAGACGGTATTTTATCAGTAGGAAATGAGAAAGAAAGGCTTAGGAAAAGGCTTGGGCCAAGATTTCTCCTTCTGCATGACTCTAGAATTCATTCGGTGCGCCTGGAGGGTTCGGTGCGCCATTTCAAAGTGTTTTTCATGTACCGGCTTTTCCCTAATGCACCCCGTCGAGTTGATGCCTATTTTCTCGTTCCCAATTTTTCCCAGAAGCTCAACACTCTAATCATCGTCAAGATCTCATCGTCAGCTACATTTTCCGACCCCACATCGATAGGTTCTGATAAGCGGTTCTCGAGATTTCGACCAATTTAGGCGAAGCTTAGAGTGCACTACTATTAGAGAAAATACGGTAGCAGCTTTTCACTAGCCGAAAGTGATTCAATCACATTCGGCTAGCCGATTGCCAATTTTTTAAGAATTAGCTCTTACCTTAGTAATGGTTAAATGCAAATTCAACTGTATTCTATATTTTTTCTTATAAACTTCAGACTTATCAATGCAACAGATTTATTTGCTTGCAATGATTTATTCTTAACAAAACCAACAACAGCAACAACAAACAACAGCACCAACAGCAACAACAGCACCAACAGCAACAACAGCAACAACAGCAACAACAGCAACAACAGCAACAACAGCAACAACAGCAACAACAGCAACAACAGCAACAACAGCATCAACAGCAACAACAGCAACAACAGCATCAACAGCAACAACAGCAACAACAGCATCAACAGCAACAACAGCAACAACAGCACCAACAGCAACAACAGAAAACAAACAAAAAACAAACAAACAAACATTTAACAAAAACAAAGTGAACTACTTTAAATTATTGACGAACTGATGAACTATTTAAACTGACCCATTCACTCTTTAGAAACTGCCAATCACTTTCGGCTAGCGGAATATGATTGAATCACTTTTGGCTAGCGAAAAACTGTCAATTGTTTCTGACTGAGAATCACATTCGGCTACGAGAAATATATCTAAAGTTAGTTGATAAGAGTCGCAAGGAAATTGGTTTTTTTGAGTCAAATTGAGTCAAATAGAGTCAAATTGAATCAACTTGAATCAGATTGAGTCAAATAGAGCCAAATAGAGCCAAATAGAGTCAAACTGAGTCACATAGAGCCAAATAGAGTCAAATAGAGCCAAATAGAGTCAAACTGAGTCACATAGAGCCAAATAGAGTCAAACTGAGTCGAATTGAGTCTAATGGAGTCAAACCGAAACAAATAGAGTCAAATAGAGTCAAACTGAATCAAATAGAGTCAAATTGAGTCAAATAGAGTCAAATTGGATCAAATTGAATCTTATAGAGTCAAATAGAGTCAAATAGAGTCAAATAGAGTCAAACTGAATCAAATAGAGTCAAATAGAATCAAATAGAGTCAAATTGGGTCAAATTGTGTCAAACTGAGTCAAATTGGATCAAATTGGATCAAATTGGATCAAATTGATTTCCAAAATGCTTTGGAGGACTAGTTTATATGCGAATTTTAAATCTAGATAGCTATCTGATATCTAGATGTTTTATACAGCTGATATACTTTTTTTTTCAGGTTTACACCTCAAAAAAGAGCACCGTATCGAGATCCGGAGTCTCACCGATTGGTTGACGAATGTAAGGATGGTGGCCGGTGAGTTGGATGTGAAATTGAGAAATCAGTGCACTAGAAGGGGTTTGTTTTGAGGAGCACAAAGTACATTTGATTTTTAGTAACGATGAAGAAAGGTGAGCCAATCGACTTGGTCGCTTCGCCTCATCGCAAAGCGCCGCTCGACTCACCGCATCTCAGCTCGTTGATGCATATGATTGATTCGGTGGATCAAACATGATACATTTCTTTTTTAAATAATCAGAATAAATCGCTGAATAAGCAAGCAAGTTGAAAAATTTGATATTAGCAATGAACAGAGATTAGCAATTGATTTGCTACCGTATTTCCTCTAATAAACGCCCCCCCCCCCTTGACCAACTTTGGACGCTTCGTTCTCAGCTCCATTTGGAGATATTTTTATGTTTAATATATCAAAAGATAGCCCTTAATGTCTTCTATCTTTTGATATATTAAACATAAAAATACCTCAAAATGGGGCTGGAACGAGCCAAAGTGGTCAAGGGGGGTTATTGGGAAATACGGTATTTGATATTAGCAACAGATTCGACATTTGACTTTTGATTTTTGATTTGACAGCCTGAATCTTTGTTTTCTTTTGGGTTTGTTAACTTGTTGAGCTCTGCATAGCTGTCGCTGGACTGCAGAGAATGGATTGCCGGGTTCGTGATTACCGTATTCTCTCTAATAGTAGTGCACCCCGGCGAGCCGAGTTGATGCCCATTTTACAGTTTCTAAGCTTTCCCAGAAGCTCAACACTCAAATCATCGTCAAGATCTCATCGTCAGCTACATTTTCCGACCCCACATCGATAGGTTCTGATAAGCGGTTCTCGAGATTTCGAGGAATTGCGGGCTATTGTCATGTGTGACAGTTTGAGGACCTTCTTCAAAAGAAACCCATTTTGGTGTCAATGGAAAAGCTGTAGAGAATCAAAAATGAAGCTTATATCCAAATTTTCAGAATGATTCAAAAACTGGTTTTCAAGAAATGTCAAATTTTCGATTTTCGATTACGAATTTTCACAAAGCTTGCAACAAAACTTGCATTTTAAGCGAAACGGCTAAGTGTATCTTTTTGGAAATTTGGCTATAAGCCTAATTTTTGATTCTCTACAACTTTTCTATTGACACCAAAATGGGTTTCTTTTGAAGAAAGTGCTCAAATTGAGTCATGAGTCAAACTGAGTCTGAAGCTGGCATCACCAGTCCTCCATTGTTGAGTCTGAGTCTCACACACAAACCAAAATCCTACGAAGAAAGAGGAATCCGGAAATTGCCTATAAAATGAGCAGAAGTCGTCAATAATAATGGAAATTATTTGGAATGGATTTATGGTTTGATATTGAATAAATTTTAGTTCAAAGTCAAACTCAAAGTCGTCAAAGTCCGGCAGTTTTCAATTCACCAACCCAATATAAAAAAAAAAAAAAAAAAAAAAAAAAAAAAAAAAAAAAAAAAAAAAAAAAAAAAAAAATATATTTTTAATCGGGGGGGGGGGGGGGGGGGAGGAAAGAAAAAAAGGGGGGGCCCTTCTTTTTCCCCCCCCCCCGGGGGGGGGACACCCCGGGGGGGGGGAAAACCCCGGAGAGAGGGGGATCAATCAGCCCCCGAAAAAAAAAAACCCCCCCGGGGGGGGGGGGGGGGGGGGAAAAAAAGGGGGGGGGGAAAACCCCCCCCCCCCCGAGGGGGGGGGGGGGAAAAACACCACAGGGGGGGCCCAAGCTTTCAACAAGAAATAATATAAATATCATTGCAACAAATCGATGAAATGAGTAAAACATAGTTTCAATACTACATTTATCACAATAAATAAAAGCTTATAAGCTGCAATTGATAGCGTTCGATAGCGTTCGATAGCTTTCGATTCGATTGTCCACTTTGAAGCAAATGTCAATGTCAGCAAATGGTTTCTCAAATCAAATAAATGGGGCATCAACGTAGCCGCATTTGATTCATGAATATTGAAGAAGAAGAAAGAAACAGCACCCATCTAGGAATGGACAACTGATATGTTCTTTAACAAAGAATCTCTTCAATGAATTGAAAAATCGACATCGTTGATTAGGACATTGAACAATTGACAATCTTTTTTATCAATTGTTTAATGGGCCTATAGGGGCCGCAAAACGTCAATCAAAGATCTTTTGGTAAAGAGGCATGTAGGCAAGAATGTAGGCAAGAACGTAGACAAGAGTGTAGGCAAGAATGTAGGCAAGAATGTAGGCAAGAATGTAGGCAAGAATGTAGGCAAGAATGTAGGCAAGAATGTAGGCAAGAACGTAGACAAGAATGTAGGCAAGAATGTAGGCAAGAATTCAGGCTTCAATTTTCGATATAACACTTAGGGTTTTTGATTGTGGCGTTTGGCATTCAATCTGCTGAAAAGGTGAGGCCATAATTCTGGCTCATGCTCAGGAAAAGGTGCTCTGTAAATGCCGCACTCTGTATTAATGAACACACTCTAGTTTAGGGCAACGATAGCTGTAATTGTGGCTGAAATTTGACATGTTATAGACTTACAGTAACCTACAGTAGTCTTGTCTTGCCTATAGCAGTCTTGTCTTGTCTACAGCAGTCTTGTCTTGTCTACAGTAGTCTTGTCTTGTCTACAGTAGTCTTGTCTTGTCTACAGTAGTCTTGTCTTGTCTACAGTAGTCTTGCCTTGTCTACAGTAGTCTTGCCTTGTCTACAGTAGTCTTGTGTTGTCTACAGTAGTCTTGTCTTGTCTAGCCTTGTCTACAGTAGTCTTGTCTTGTCTAGCCTTGTCTACAGTAGTCTTGTCTTGTCTAGCCTTGTCTACAGTAGTCTTGTCTTGTCTACAGTAGTCTTGTCTTGTCTATCACAAATCCAATGTATCCAACTAACAGTCTAACTTGTTAACAAGGTGCGAACAAGTTTTTTAGAGTTTGGAATGAGGTGTGAGGTTTGGAGAAGGAAATGGGAGTACTCTGGGATTTCTTTTACTCTTTTCCGTTCTCCTGTAATCATCTCAGTATGTGTTTGTTTTGTCTATTGAGATAATTGGAAAGGAATTGTCTGTTGTCTAATATTTCCTGTTGTGACTTCAATAGAGTGAGTACACGCAATCGTTTGAGGACAATGGGAAACAAAAAGGACAAAAAGTTTTCACTAACTATAGTCATCACCGTCTTTCACTCACTCTTTAACCATGACATAGACTTAGAGTAACTTAGAGTAACTTAGAGTAACCTACAGTAAGACAACAGTTACTATAAGAGGCTTTAAAGCTACGTTAAGGTTGGGTTAAGCAGGCTTACTGTAGGCTTACCGTAGGCTAACTGTAGCTAAGCGTTAAGCAGGCTTACTGTGGGCTTGCCGTACGCTTACTGTAGCTAAGTGCTAAGCGGACTTACTGTAGGCTTACTGTAGGCTTACTGTAGCTAGGCGTCAAGCAGGCTTACTGTAGCTAACCATTAAGCAGGCTTACCGTAGCTAAGCATTAAGCAGGCTTACTGTAGGCTTACCGTAGGCTTACTGTAGCTAAGCGTTAAGCAGGCTTACTGTAGCTAAGCGTTGAGCAGGCTTACTGTAGCTAAGCATTAAGCAGGCTTACTGTAGGCTTACTGTAGCTAAGCGTTAAGCAGGCTTACCGTAGGCTTACTGTAGCTAGGCGTTAAGCAGGCGTACTGTAGGTTTACCGTAGGTTTGCTGTAGCTAAGCGTTAAGTAGGCTTACTGTAGCTAAGCATTAAGCAGACTTACTGTAGCTAAGCGTTAAGCAGGCTTGCTGTAGCTAAGCGTTAAGCATAGCTACAGTAAGCCTACAGTAATCCAAAAGAAGAGTCACCGTTTGAAGCTCAAAATTAACCCAACTTATTACAGATTACAGTAGCTAGAGGATTATTAATCTATAAAACATTGCTTTCAATTAAGAAGGCTTACTGTAGCTAAGCGTTAAGCAGGCTAACTGTAGCTAAGCGTTAAGCAGGCTTACTGTAGACTTACCGTAGGCTTACTGTAGCTAAGAATTAAGCAGGCTTACTGTAGGCTTGTTTTCTTTTCAAATTTCCTTTCAAATTCGCTTTTCTTAAAGAAAAATCCCTAGTTTCTAGTGTTATTAAAACAGAATTTCTTTTAGAAAATCTTTTCTTTTCTTTTCTTTGTTTAAATTTCGAAAATCTTCAGCTTATCGACTATTAGAATAAGAAAAAGACTTTATTTTTCGAATAACTTTCGAATAAAAGGAACAGATGTCATTTTTTGATTTCTTTGAATGAAAAGGCGCGAAAAGTTTCATTTTGTTTGATCGTTTGATCGAAAATCGTTTGATTTGTCTCTTCAAGCACACAAAAAAGAAGAAAGCTTTATGTGAAGCTCAATTTAGCTCAATTTAGCTCGATTTAGCTCGATTTTCACTGAAACAAAATAAAATTTGCCGAAAGATACCAAATTTAGGGGAAAATTGCTGCTAAAAAACTCAAAACAGCAAAAACAGATGCTCTAAAATAGTCAAAATGCTATAAAATGCTCTAAAATATGCTCTAAATGCTCTAAAATACTCTAAAATATGCTCTAAAGTACTCAAAATCCTCTTAAATCCTCAAAATTCTCTAAAATCCTCAGAATAATAAAACCGGCTCGCTAGGAAACTGTTTAAAGTTAAAATAGATTCAAGATTCAAGATTTGTGCAATCTCCTGGAATTTGAAGGGACACTTGCCTTTCAATTTTACAGAATTGATAAAAAGCTTTCGAGAAAAAGGCTTTTGAAGTTTGCACAGATTGGATTAGTTGGAACTAGAACAAATCAAAAGTTCGTGCACCGTCGGGACTCGAACCCGCCACCTTCCGCTTACCCACCAACTGTGCTAACCATTACACTACAACGTACTGGATCATCGCGGTATAAGCGAGATTTTCTTTGCTATGCTATTCTTTGCTATGCTTTTCTTGGATCTACACAAGCTTTCTCAGAGTTGGGCGGATCAAAAACGCGAGCCGGGACTCGAACCCGCGACCTTCCGCTTACTAGGCAACAGTGCTAACCACTACACCACAACGCACTTGACCCCCTTGACTCCAGAGGGAGTCAAGTCATCGTAAACCAAAAAAACGGGCAACCAAAAACGGGGCCACCGCGGTATGACCGAGAATTACGTCTCAGTCAACCAGTACCCGGTGGCCTAGTGGATAGTATGCTCGCCCTCCGCGCAGCTCTCCCTGGTTCGGATCCTCTTACTGCCACCACCTTTTTGC